AGGCTACATCTGGTTCAAAAAGTTCCAGACAAAATTACCAGGCATCTTGAAATACAATCAGTATCAAGCCTGATAACTCACTTTAACTGCTGAACCCACGCAGCTGCGACAGAATCAGTACTTGGTGACTCTTGTGATTCTTCTTCGCGCTGCGCTTTTTGTTGAGAAACACTTGGTTGTAAAGATTTGGTTTTGCTCTTTAGTAAATTTTTCCACGTCCTTCTTGAGCCCTAAAAAAAAGCAGTAAGAAGGCGCTCTAAAATCCTACGCTGAGGGAATGCAAGATTTAAGCTTTGTGAGCAGATTCTTTTGTTAGCTGAAACTGTAAATTTTTCTGGAAAAATCTCCAAATAATGTGTCAGTAAACTTACTGGCTGCTGAGCAGATTTTAACAAATCTTTGTAGAAATCGGAACGAACAAATCGAGGGTATGCATCTCTTTCCATAAGATAGTAAATATCATCCTCAGCAGCAGAAAATGCATATCGTTTTCGTTTTCCATCTCTTAGCATTCTTTCCACTTGTTCCCTCGTTGAAATTTCAACATTAATCTTAAAAAAAATTGTAAATGAACTCCTAATATCTAATCCAAAAAAACTAATCGCCCACTAATTGAGATAAAAATTATACAAACCGGAGACTTTCCATCAGGCGCCATAAACTCGTCGTATATTTGTTGAACCTTTTCATCGACTAATCTGATAGGTGCTCGTTTTAAATCTTGTACAGCATTCCAGAACCTTATATTTTCCCTTGAAAATTCTGTTTCCAAGAAGCTTTCAAAGGCTTGACGTCCCATCTTGTTAAACATTAAAAACTTGAAACCAACAGTCCACTCTCGCACTTTTGATTCTGTTGGAATATCCGCTCTAAAAATGCGAACACCTCCTTTCTAAGCATTGGAATTCTCATCAAATAAAGAACAAAACTAACGGACCATCAACTAACAATGAAGTACAAATATTCACTTACGTATCACTGTTAAGCGCAAAATATGTTGGGTCGTCAGATATCCAAGGATTACTAGGTTGCGGAGGGCTAAACATGGGATCAAACTGTTGCATTTGCGTAACTGTAGTTATCATTCTGAAAATTTCAGATATATGAACTTTCAAATTAAAAACAATTAAAAAAGCACGAGAAAGTGTCAAAAAAAGAGAACCGATTATACACCGAAGATCAGTTTAACACTCAAGTCTTTCAACAAGAAAAGCCTGACATAACCCTACACAAAGATTCTTGATATACCTCTGTTGGGATGGTTCAGCTTGCAACCAGGGTTTATTCCTTAGAGCCTTTTCCATAATTTCAATCTCCTTCTTCAACATTTCTGCCGTGGGCTTCCTCAACTTCTTCAGGATCTTCTAAAATAAAAATGCCCATTGTTTTTCCCCTAAATCACTTTGAAGCGTTCCAGATACTAGGTGCAAAACTGTGCTTACGTTCGGGGGTTCTTCCAGCGCATTCGATCCAGGTTTGCGTAGACGCCAAAATGCTCTTTCATCACTGTCATATATGACACGCTCAATCTTTTCCTTCTTCTATAAAGCACATATTCAATTGATTACCACAGATTTAACTTCTAGTAAATTATGCGACAATATGGGAACTTGAAAAACCATACGACATAAACAATAAAACAGTGATCAATTCCCTCTTTCCCTTCGTAGCAGACCACTACTAATGTTCTAATGAAGGAGAATTAAAGGATAGTAAGAAATATGGGAAAACGTTATAAAAGCGCAACTAAGAAATTTCAAGCCATCAAAAGGCACCTTGTGACTTTTCAATCGCAACTCTGCCTGTTCTGTAACAAATCTCCATTGATGACCCAGAAGCTCAAGGTACAAGTTGTAGCATTCAGCTTCCTCCTCATTTAAGCCATGCCTGTCGCTGCGTAAAACTCGTTTGTGTAGGAAAATAGCTAGAAGGACGAAAAGTGAGAGCAGAATCATAAAGTAATAAACAGTATTTAAAAAAGCAGCAATGCGTCTGTTTAAAAAGAAGAAAACAAACTATACCATATTCAATATTGCTAACTACTTTCGACGTCCAAGGCCAAAAGTAAGGCCGCTGGATTCTGTAGAGAGTCCCGTCGTTCCTAACATTTAGGAGATCCTCTTCAAATATAGGGTATACAAAACCGTAGCGTAAAAGCATTGTAGCTAAATGCTCGGCTTCTTCAAAGTCTGGACATGGCGCCACTTCCTGTAAAACTACTACTTGCTTTGAAATTTAAAAGTGGTTTAAAGTTGAAAACGTGACGTAAAAAGGTTTGCAAGCCTCGAATGATAAATCGGGGAAACTTAATAAAAGGTTAAAGGCTAAAAACCTTTAGAGTTGCGACGAATTCTTGACCTAAAATAGACCGAGGAGCTTTAACCCGGAAATGCGTATGTTCCGAAACTGGTGCAACAGCCAAAACCCGAAGCATCAGTCCGTTTAGCTATAAATGAATTGAAAATATGCAAATAAATTGTACAACCTTAAAAACCTAAACCATACATAACAACATCTTAAAGTGCCAGAGACTAAAGTATTTTACAAAGGAAGAGGAAAAAGGTTCATAAAGTAATGAGTGCGTTTGAACTTTTAACAATAACAGTAGAAAAATCTAAGGTACTCAAAACATGTAAGTCTTATAACATTTCGCGATTGCTGTAACCGTGAATAACCGTGAACAAAACAAACTCCGAAGCCTTTTTGTCACCTATTTAGTCGAGAAATCGTTAAAATTTCATCAAAACTAATCGAAAACAAAAAGATTTTGGAAAAAGAAACTAGTGCCTTATTCACAACCAATCCCAAAAGAACTTGATTCTTTGATATAACTGATGGATAACTGGGAAAGGTAAAACAGAAAAGACCACCTCTTGTTGAAAAGATAAGCAGATATAGTAACTAACAACTCGAGATCTGTAACTGCCATACCGCCAAACAAAATAGTTTTGAGACCTTTTAAGCCTACTTTCCTTACCTTTCTCGTCCAGTTAACTGTTTTAAGTACAGATTAAAAATACACTTAAAGTGAAGCACAAAAATTTACCCGCCAACCAAACAGACTATTAGTGGCAAAGAAAATAAAAAATAAATGTTTTGTGGATCGGCTGTAAATGGTAACAGCTTATAAAGATTGAACAAAATAGGACCTTTACTCAGCTAGTCAGTCAAACACAGAATAATTCCTTATGAAGTTTCGTAATATACAAGTCACCGTTAAAGAGCACTTTTTCAAGACGGCAAAAATGTTCAAAAAAAAGAACGCTTTACAACACTTACTCGTTTCCAGAAATTACTTTGAAAGTTATTCAAAATCCGTTCAGAAAATTGTGAATCAACCTCAGTAAAACCCTAACATTCCTCCCAGCCCTCCTTTCCAGAAGAAACTCCCTCACCTTGAGAAAGGCAAGAGACTATTTAAGCACAAAAACCTAAGAAAGTATAGGAGTAGTAATTAGACGCATGTAAATCGCAGCACATCATTTGACCGAACCTTAACCAGTAACTAATATGTGATTTAGTGAACCAAAATTTTCGTTTAACGGCGTTTTCAGACCTCTTTCAATCACCCGTTGCTACTACTTTTGTATTTCTTATCCATTTACTTTAGCTCATCTGCTATGACTCAACAAAATTGTTACATCTATTTCTGAAGCCACTAAATATCAATCTCGCAAAGAGAAACCTGGAAAGCAGTGCTAACTAGACTGTAATTTCAAGCAACGTTCTGAAAGTTTTGAAAAACAAAAGAACTAAAAAAGAATGAGCTTTCAGTGAAATACAGAGAAAAAAATTCAAGCCTAGTGATAAAAACAATAAACTTAAAACAAACAAGCAAAAAAATATAATAAAAGAAAAAGTGTACCTTCTCAACAGTTTCCTTGTTGGCGTCTGAAACGCCATGGAAGACAAAAGTACCCGATGGCCCAGCAGTAGCCATTTGCGGATAAGCTTCAATACTATCAGCTAACAGCGAAAATTCTGAGGCCATTCCGTCATTAGGGAAAAATACTTAAAAAAAGATCCATGATGTTCCAGTTACTTTCATTCATTCATTTATTCATTCATTCATTCATTCACAAATTCATTTTTTTTAAACTATAAATATACACATTCTACTCATTTAAAATATATCTATTAATACAAACACGTATATCACCATTCGTCACTTCAATCCTTACTTGCCTAGTTCAACAAATCCTGCTTTTTTTTTCTTTTTGAATCTTTAGTTTTATGAAATAGATAAACAAGTTAAGATCAAAAAAAAATTCGAAATTGTACACGTCAAATAAAAAAACAAGGAAAAAAAGTATACATATCACTTAGAGGACCTTTAACGAAACATTGACGGAACAGGTATACACGAACATACAAATTACATGTATTATATATTATATACATAATAAATATAAATATGTTTATGAACATTAACGTAAACACAAATGAAAAAACTATATATATATATATATATATATATATATATAT